TCATGGAAGATACCTAATAAGGATTCATTAAACCATGGCTTCCACCAGCCAAACATGTGTATTTAATGCCTCCTTCACTCATCATGACGAGGCAGACGTTTGCAGAGTGGTTCTGGGGATTGCTCTGGTTTCTGAATGTATTTGGTCACTAAATCAGTAGCTTAACATAGCCTTGTATTTCTAGGTATGTTCCTTCCAGCAAAACACAGTAGGAAGAGGGAGGGAGGAAGCCCAGTGTGTTTAGTCAGGTCACCCAGACCAACAACCCTTTGCAAAGCACATCAGCCTCATCCCTTTCACAAAGGCCTCCACACTGCAGATCTAAGCAAAGATCAAAGAGGCTGAACAAAATTGGCCCAGAGCCATAGAGGTAGGGTACAGACTGGCAATGCTCATAAGAGGGGGTGTTGGGGGGGAGATAAATCACAGAACTTATATGCATGTATGCATAACAAATGGACATAGACAACAAAGCTGGGGATGGATGGGGTGGGGGAGATGGGGAAGAGGGTGTCAATGGGGAAAAAGGAGAAACATCTGTAACAAAAACAAATTAATAAAAATAATTTAAAAAAAAAAAGAGACTGAAGAAATGATTTCCATGCCCTCTCATAACTAAGGGAAACTAAAGGTTTCGTTTAAATTTTACCCAAATGGAAGCACTTAAATATACCCAACACTTAAACTTTTCTGTTATTTAGTGTTGTATTAAAATCCCTGGTCTTGCCCTGGTCGGGTAGCTCAGCTGGTTGGAGCGATGTCCCAATATGCCAAGGCTGCTGGTTCAATTCTCGATCAGGGTACATACAAGAAATAACCAATGAATGTACAAATAAGTGGAACAACAAATTGATGTCTCTCTCTCTCTCTCGCTCTCTCTCTCTCTCTCTCTCTCTCTCTCTACTCCCCCTTCCTCCCTCTCCCTAAAATCAATCAATCAATACAAAAAAATCCTTGGTCTTGCATGCAACTTTTAGTGCTATGTTCAGTTGAAGAGAGTACCTATTTAATAAAACACTGATGTTTTCATGACAATAGACACTAGATAAAAATAAAAAGAGAAACACTTACACCCTAAATGTTTGTGGGAAATTTGTTGTATACTTTTTTGAAATTTGGGGGTAATTTTTGTAATAACAAGGCATTACTTATATAATCACAACAATGATATAGCTACTTCTTAAAATCAAATAAGAAAATTATCAACAAAAAAAACACAATAGCCTTAAGAGAAGAAAATCAAGTGTTTGTTTTGACTTATGACTTTTCAGAGAGAAGTAAGAGAACAGGAGAGAAAACTGGCAAGGAAGATGTCTGCTCACCCATACCAGGGGTGTAAACACCTTTAAGATTTACCTACAACAAACTAAGGAACTCATAATGAAAACATAGAGTCCCTTAGAAGTACACATCCCACATGTAAGCATGATATATGGGCTTCCAGAATTTGCCCACAAAGGTCATCTTTGATGAGATCCTCTCAGGGCTTCATTGAACTATTCCAGCCACGGGGCATTAGAAATGGACTAAGGCTTACACTTTGTAGTAGATGAGAATGAAGATATCAGTCCATGAGCAGAGTTAAACTTCTGACTCCTTTATGTGCTCTAGTTTCAGCCCCTCTCCAGCTGTGAGATGCTAGACCAGGGTCAAGGGCTCTGCCTGAGTTCCTAGCACAGGAAGAGGTAACTGATCCATAGAGAGGTCACCATATGACACCAGTTTCATTAGTTCACTGCCCTCATCAAATGAAAGAAACAGTCAGAAAAAAACAAACATTAGCTCTGATTTTAACTGGAAAACACTATCAATGACTGACTTTCAGGAAGGCCTGTCCCATGTTGTGCTTATGGGTAGTAGCAACTAACACTCCCCAGTCTACGGGAATTTGCTAGGCCTCATTCTAATGCACACTAAGGTTTTAGCGCTTGTCAACCTCTATTAAAGTAGAAAGCAAGGGGGCTATTTCCTCACTGATGGGGATATAGTTTGGTTCAAATCAATTCTGTGACTATTTATCAAGGCCTGTGTTGGGGTTTGGCAGCAGAAGCTTTCTCATCATCTTAGTATTGAGACTAATTTTTTCTTCTTTTTTTATCCTCACCCGAGGACATTTTTGCATTTATCTTCAGATAGAGCGGAAGGGAGGAAGAGAAAGAGATAAATATCGATGTGAGAGAGACACATTGAGTGGCTGCCACCCACATGACCTCAACTGGGGCCAGGGACAAACTGCAACCGAGGTACATGCCCTTAGCGGGAACCAAACCCGGGTCTCTCTGGTCCATGGGCCGACGCTCTAACTGCTGAACCAAACCGATCAGGGCAAGACTAATTTTTCTTTATCTTGTATTTCTGTACTGAGGACATGCACTTAAACTTGTAGCATATAAATGGTAGCTGTAGTTTAACCAATTTTGAACCTGTCTCTAGACTGGTAAAGTTAAGACTAGTTAGCTACACAAATTCTATGACCCTAAACAATATATTGTATTCCATATAATAGGTATATAGCCATGCACATTGGAAGGGATCCCCTGGCCTTTTCTTCTTCTACCTAATTCATTCAAATTTTATTGCATCTCTGAAAATGTTTTCCTGTAAATTTTGTATTTTTAATCTGGGAGAGACTAAGACTGTACGTTGGGAGGTCACCTTCAAATTTATAACTTTGCCCCCTCTAGCAAATGGTTTCTCTCCATTGCTTTCTGTTTGTGATTTAATATTAATCAACACTACTATGGTCTAAATGTTTGTGTTCCCCCCCCCCGAATATTGTATGTTGACATCTCAATGCCCATGTGGTGGTATTAGGAGTGAAGTCTTTGGGAAGTGCTTATGTAATGAGGGTAGAGCCCTCGTAATGGGACTAGTGCCCGTAAAAGAGACTCACAGTGCCCCACTGCCTCCTTCCACCACGTGTGGATGTAGGGAGAAGTCAGCAGTCTGCAACCTGGCTGAGGGCCATCACCAGAACCTGGCCATGCTGACACCCTGATCTTAGACTTCCAGACTCCAGAACTGTAAGAAATACATTTCTTTAGTTTTTTAGCCACCCAGTCAATGGTATTTTGTTATAGCAGCCTGAATGAACTAAGCCAAATACAAAATATTAATTTATAAAAATAAATGTGTTGTCCTAGCTGATTTTGCTCAGTGGTTAGGGCGTCGGCCTATAGACCAGAGAGTCTAAGGGCACCTACCTTGGTTGCAGTTTGTCCCCAACCCTGGTTGGGCTTGTGTGGGTGGCAACCACTCGATGTGTCTCTCTCACATGAATGTTTCCCCCTCTCTCTCTTCCTCCCTCTCTCCCTCCCGCTCTATCGAAGATAAATGCAAAAATGTCTTTGGGTGAAGATAAAAAAAAAAAATTTGTTCATAAACTCCTGGAATATGATCAGCCTTCTTACTTTGCTATTTCAGCACAAACTCATTACCTACCTTGTGGGAAGCAGAAGACAGAGTTAGAGAGAACCAGTGATAAGACAGGAGGAAACAATGGAGCCTTGTAATTGGATGAGTTCTATTACAATAATTTAGCTTACACTTTTCTAAAGAGAGATGGGAATGATGTGCTAAGAGACAAGTAGCTTTTAGTCTCCATATAGGTGAAATTGTTTTTATCACCACTGCCATCAAACTTGAATTGTAGCCAATTTGAATTTCTCTGCCTCCTCCTGGTCCTCTCTATCTTTGGTGAAGTGGTAAGAAAAATAAAATGGTCAAGGCATGAGGCATGGGGGAGAAACAAGGTCAATTTATAATGCTGATAGTTGAGTATATCTTGCAAAAGTTAAATGCCCTCCAGTAACTGTAGCCCAATAAGTCATTGCACTTCCACATATGTTTTTTTATGAGGAAGTTTTTTTATGCTCAGAGAGGATAAAGGTCTCATTCAAAGACATTGATTAACAGATCAGTGTTTCTGATCAAAAGATCTCTAACATATAGCAATCATCTGAACATTCCTTACAATCACGATTATACACAAACAACAAGGACAGTGCCTTCAGGCCCTGGAATACCACTCCAAAATGGACATAGGCCAGCTTGTTCAGGACAGATGTTCAGTTAGCTAGCTTATACTTGCTTTCATTCCCTTAATATTTTCTTAAACATTGCATTCAGTAATCCTGAGAGCTGGGGATTTTCTAATGTAAATGAAGGGGTGTACTAGGCTTGGCTAGGGCCAATCTACTCCAGTTGACTGTCATTCTCTTCCTGGGCCAGTTGGTTAGTCTGTGAAAGTTCTCCTTGTGAAGACGGCAGAACACAAGAAGGAAAATAGAAAGACATAAGGCCCCTTGGGGGTCAGGCTTTGCTGATACGCTGTCACGTCTGCCTTGCTTTATTGGCCGAAGTATGTCATATAACTGACCCACAAATCAGAGGTTGGGAAAGCCCCTATGCCCCTAAGAGATGTGGCAAGGCTGTGGGTGCAGGAAGGGGTGAAGACCTGGGGCCACAATCTCAGTCTCCCACAGCTACTGACAAATTACTTAAATGGGGATGTTTCCACAGAAAATTCCAGGGCCTCGTCTGCTATTAAGCATGAAAAGGAGATGCTAATACATGTTTGAAATATACAGAAAAGTACAGAAAGCAATATAACAATTACCCAAGTATTTATCTCCATTAATTAACAAATTAATATTTTGTATATTTGCTTCTGATCTTTTTGTTTTTTTTTATAGAGTATTTTAGAGTTTAAGCACTGTATACCCCTCCACCATTCTGTTCCCTCCCTGCTCTGAGGTAACTATTATCCTAAAGTTAGTCTGGGCATATTTTTGTATTTTTACTATATCTGCAGTTACATGAAGCCACAGCCCTGAGGACAGTCACTCTTTACCTACTCTTATCATTTTCTGTTAATATTTAGTCAGCATTTCCAATAAAATTAGCTGCTTGTTCAGCTCAAAAGCTTTTATATAGATTCTACATGAGAACCAAATAGCTATCAATGGAATATTAGAATTTGACTTGTTCCATCTCATCTTCTTTTTGGTCTCGTATTAAAAAACAAAAGATGCAGAATTCTAAGGCTAAATAGCTAGAAAATATTTATTCAAACTTGAATGTTCTTCAAAGAGAGTATAGAGTAATTATAATTATCAGAGGAAGAAATGTCACCGGGACATAGAAGCCAAATGATTTCCTCCAGAGTCCTCCTTTTGGCTGCTTTGATTTCGACTGGTAAGTCAAAGAGACAATTTTAGACTCGACTAATTTTTAAAAACGTATTTCAAGAATAGATTTAAAAGTCAATAATAGCACAATCACAGCAGAAACTTGTGTATTTGGTTGTTAAAAATGGAACAGGAAGAATGGGGGTGGTTCTCAAGGATTTCCACCTGAGTGTTCTGGTCCTTCCATGAGGGAAACATACAAGTGAAATGGGAGGACTTTAAGAAACGTCCTCAGTTATGGTCTAGAACTTAACTGGAACATAACTTGAAAATAAAACGTTTGTGCAAGAATATAATTTAGAAAATACCTGATGCAGACAAGTGGGGATTAGGACAAGGGGAATGCTCCCTAATAGTCACAGCCTGAGAGAAAAATAAATAAATTAAAAAATTGTCTAGTATATGTCTCAGTTCCCAAGGACAAATAAGAGTTGCCAGGGTGATAGCATTATATCTTGATAGCATTATATGTTGTCTTGAAACTTGGCTCCAAGATATAAGGCTTTTGAAAGAATATTAAAGAATATGCTTAATGGCCATATTCTATACCTTCTCTTCACAGCACATATATTTATAAATAGTAAAATACTGTAAAATAAAATCAGTGATCAAATTAACAGGTTCTGTTTTTGTCAGTTTGTTTTGAAGTGAAAGAATGAGTTTGCTAACTGCATCCTGTAGTGAACATTAACATTAGAAATCTCCAAAATTGCATTCGATTGAACATTTATCGAGTGTTCACTATATTACAGTTTGCACAAAATACAGAGAGAGCTAGCCCCCTTTCTTGTTTTACTGCATCATAATTTTTCATATGGTTGTTTCTGCTCTATTCCCCACCTTCTCTTCTCACTCCGCTCTAAGCTACATTGGTTGGGCATGTTTGTATTTCTAAGAATCCTTCTCCCATGTTTGAAGATATGAAAGAGATTTATTTAGTGTTAAACAGGCTTTGCCAGTTCAAAGTTTGTTTCAAATATTTTCTTGAATTTGATTATTAGGACTAACAATAAAGGAACATTTCAAACTTACTTAAGAATTTCTGGAGTTATTTCTTTGAACCATGCTGTTTGGTTATTTTCCTTAACCCCATGCCAAGCAATGAACAAAGAAAATTTGAAAAGCACAGTTTATTCCATTTATTAGTGGACAATCTGAAACTGTAATGATGGAGGTTAATGCTTACAAACAGACACACTTAAAAATACTCTATATAGCATAAGATGGACTTCTGTGGCCAGGGAAAAAGCTCATTTTACATCTGAATCAGGAGTTAAAAGAAGATCCTACCACAAACTACAGAAGGTTGGGGACAAACTATAGTGAAAACAAGATTTTCAGAATCTACTGACAGACTTATAAAGAAAATGGAGACTGGAAATATGTGAGAAGAGGAAATCTGCTTTTCATGTTTCTCCTTCATAGCACTGGCTGGACCATGGGCTAATATATGTGCTGGCAAGTCTTCCAATGAGATCAGGACGTGCGACAGCCTCGGCTGCGGCCAGTACACTGCTCACAGGTAGGTATGGGGTTTCACAAATAACCATAAGCTCTTTGGGCTCTCGATCTCTTTGCTTAGTGCTCTGCATTTCCTCAAGTGCTCATGATCATCTCCCTCCGACAGCAGGAAAACTCAGAGACGAAACCAGTTACATTGCTGTCTTTGGAGTGACTTCTAAGAACCCTGCTTCAGGAATGGGCTCTGAATTGAGAACAGAGCATGGAAGAAGGAAAAGAGAAAGAGGAGCAAACAGTGTTTTCCTTCTCAGTGTTTCACACATTGACTTACTTCACCTGGTTTTTCTGAGGTGAAAATCAAACATTACTATCCCATTTTATAGATGAGGAACTAGAACGGAGGTACCAAAGGGCTAAGGGACCTGCCAAACAGTTGGAGGTGGTAAAGGCTAGACTAGGATTTGGGCTTTAGGATCTTCTTTCCATCAAACCACAGTGTTATGAACCCAGGCTCTGGGAGCTGACCACCAGAGGCTGGCCCTGAGCAGACAATTTATTCCAGACAACGAGGTACACGCTTGTGAATGTTCAATAACCAACAGGATCACCTTGGGAGTACCACTCTCTGAAGAAACAGCTGTGTGTCCAACTGCATTACTGATCTTTATTCTAATTATAGCGAAACTCTCTCTTACACAGATACTACTTAAAAAGTAACCTCAAACCCCCTGAGATATTTCTGAGCTGGGACATATTAAAAAAATGGCCAATGAGTTGCAAAATTCAGACTCAGTTCATACCTTAAACTTTATCAGTATTGCTTTACATCATCTAACAATCCTGGTGAATCTAATTTTTCAGGTAGTAGCCTATCAGAAAGGAGAAGAGGTTGGTAAGAGCAGGCTCGGTGACTACAGGGAGGATTGTTAAAAACAGCCTCGTGGAATCTCACAACCTGGGAACATTTTGTGTTTGTGCTATACATACTGTAATAAACACAAGCAGTATCATTCCTATATTAAAATAGCCTATATAGTAAATGATGTTTGTAATAACTTCTGGATCACTGAGGGAAAAATAAGACTTGGGTAACATAAGATTCTTTTATGATGAGTTCTCATTAAAAACCATTTCCTAAGTGGTCTATAAAATTTACTTATGTGGATTTCCTCATTTCCCTACAATGCCATAATAATAATAATAATAATAGATAATATTTTTAAAGTCTTCCCAAGTGTCAAATACTATCTTAAATGCTTCTATCTCACCCTGGTTGGTTTGGCTCAGCGGTTAGAGCATCGGCTCACGGACCAGAGAGTCCCGGGTTCAGTTCCTGCTAAGGGCATGTACCTCGGTTGCAGTTTGTCCCCAGCCCCAGCTGCAGTCATGTGGGTGGCAACCACTTGATGTGTCTCTCTCATGTCGATGTTTCTCTCTCTCTCTCCCTCCCTCTCTCCCTCCCACTCTATCTGAAGATAAATGCGAAAATGTCCTTGGGTGAGGATGAAAAAGAAATGCTTTTATCTTTACAACATGGTTATTACTACCTTCATGGAGGGAGGTTAAAATGGGATAAAGCAGTGTGAGGAAACCTGAGACATCCCAACATGTTCTAGCAACTTCAATTTTTGATACCCTAGTCTGGGAACAGAGGGCTAACACCACATTCCTGGGCAGTTCCTAAGTCTGTTCATTCTTATCTACATCCTAGAAATCATAGGCCTCACCAGGGTGTGGATGTCTTGTGCTCTGATGGATCTACTGTGTTTGCACCTTTCAGTGGAATGATTGTGGGCCAGGAGAAACCTTATAAAAACAAAAATGCCATCAATAATGGTGTTCGGATATCTGGAAGAGGTAAGAGGTGGCGTATATGTCTGGGACATATACAGAGATGTTTGGTGTTTATTATTGAATGCATATTCCAGAACAGAAGTTTCGCACTTCCTTCAAGATGATAAAACCTATAACATAAAGAACATAGGGTACCAAACTAAAACAGCTACTGCATTTCCAAAGATGTCCCACTGGTTTCCTGGAATCATCTTTATGCACACACTCTACCTAACTCTCTAGCTGACTGAGGGATTTCTTCTCGTGGCCCATGTGGTTTTGCTTAACAATCTTTAATCAAACCACTTTCAGCAATATTAACTATTGTGAATCGATACTTTCATTCACCAAAATTCCACAATTGGAAAGCATTGGCCTTTGCGCAAGAGCTGACTGTGAGATATTTACAAATGCCTCTACTATATTCTAGATAAAGCTGGGGCTCCTGGTATTCCAGGTATTGGGCTTATTGTTTGGTTGTTTTAATTTTTTTTCTGAGGTATAACATACACATAGAAAAGTGCACAAAGCATAAGCGAACAGCTCCATAAATTTTGACAAAGTGAATACACCTATGTAACCAGCACCCAGATCAAGAAAAACAATTATCAGCAGCGTCCTAGAGACCCTTTGTGCTATCTTTCAGTAATTATTCCCAGAAAGGGAAATCATTTTCCCATTATATATTAGTTTTGCCTGTTTTTGAAGATGATATAAATAGAATTAAATGGCATGCAGTCTCTCTTAGGGGGCTTCTTCCACTCTACATCATGTTTGTGAGATTCATTCATATTTTTGCACATTGTTTTAGTTCATTCCTATTGCTTTATATAGTATTCCCTTACACGCATATATCTTAATATATTTAATCATTCTTCTCTAGATGGACATTTGGCTAGTATCCAGCTTTAGGTGATTATGACAATGCTTCTATGAATTTCCTTGAGCATGTCTTTTAATAAACATAAATATGCATTTCTTTTGGGACTGAGTCCAGAGGACAATTTCTTCACCAAGTAAGAAGCATTTTGTGAGGAATCCCATGACCTTGAGGAGCTATATGGTGGCTTAAACCTGAATGACAAGACAAACTGCTGCCATTGAATGCAGTCTACTTAGTAGTCAAGGCCAAGGTTGGCATGGTTACCTAACAGGCAGCAGAGCTGAAGCAATAATCAGATTCATCTGAAGCGCAGAGATCCGTGATATTGTCTAGTAATCATAGTGGCCCTAGAATGAAACAGATGGGCAGCCTACTAAAGCCTTATTTGATTTGTATAAATGGAAACACTCTAAGTCTGAAGAACAGAATTCTGACTTAAATCATCATAATAATAGGTCAAAAACCACCCCACCCCAATTCCCAGACTGGAGCCAGCTCACAGTCCCAGAGCCCCTTTGAGGAAGGGCTCCGTCACACAGACAACAATTTATACTGTAAATCTTACTTCTAGCTATCCCCAAAGGGACCTGCAGCCATTTAGCAGAATGACTGTACATTGGGGAAGAAGAAGGAATTGGGCTTTTCGACAATTACTGGACACTCACTCAAAATTGATATTAATTCCTAGAGACTCAATGGCCACTGTGATCCACCAGTCAGACTAGGGACTTACAGGGTCAGGCAATCAATGTAGTTTTCACTAGGGTCCATCTTATAATGGACCCAGTGCATCCACAAATCTACCCTGTGGTAATTTCCCCAGTTGCATAATTAGAATCAATATATTCAGCAACTGGCAGGATGATGTAGGAGATGAAGTGTTGGGTCACTTGGTATACAGTTGTCCCTTGCCACTTTGCGCTTCGACTTTCACTGAAGCCGCGAGAGTCGAAGTGCGAGGTGGGGAGGGATGACTTAGATGGTTTGTGTGTCATTTAGCACATGGATAGCTGTCATTGTTGCATATTAATTGGATTTAGTATTATAAAGTGTCCTTCTTTGTCTTGTTTCAGTGCTTTTTGGCCTGAATTCCACTCTCTGGTAACAGAATTACAATCTTTGCTTTCCATTTTTCTTTCATTTTCTTGGAAATATTTGTTCAGCTCTTAATTTTTAGCCTTTTACAATTATTGTGTTTTTCTACACAGCATAGAATTGGGTTTTCCTTGTCAAGTCAATAGAAAAATCTATTTATAGATGAGTTAAGCCTGGCGGGTGTGGCTCAGTGTTTGAGCGTTGACCCATGCATCGAGAAGTCGCCAGTTCGATTCCCGGTCAGGACACATGCCCAGGTTATGGGTCTGATCTCTAGTGTGGGGGGATGCAAGAGGCAGCCAGTTGATGTACCCTCTCATGGATGTTTCTCTCTCTCTCTCTCTCTCTCTCTCTCTCTCTCTCTCTCTCTCTTTCCACCTTCCTCTCTCTCTGAAAATCAATAAAGAAAAAATAAAAATAGATGAGCTAACATTTATAGATATAACATATATTTGGCCCCAACATCGTCATACTATGTTATAATTATAGTATTATATTAATTCAATTTCTTTATTTGATGGGTCTTTATTTAATTTTTTTTCTTTTGGTATTAGAAAGATTTATATTCTTGTGCCAGTTATTTCTATTTTTCCTTGTCTTTAAAATCTAATCCTTTAGAATATGTCTTAGAATTGATGTTGTTCTATGTCAATTTTCTCAGTACCTAGTCTTTTTGCTATTTAATGCTTTTATTAAACTTTCATTTAAATCTATTCTCCCTTGGGGATCTTGCAATTTTTGTCTTTATTCCTGATATAATTTTGTAATTTCCTTCTACTCCCTCATTGAGTTCAATCAACTCTCCTTTCTTTCTGTTTTTGTTTTTATCTTTTTTTTTCCATTTATGTTCTTTTTTTTTTTTTTTAATTTCTGATTTGGGGCTATTAAAACACAGATAATGAATAATTTTACTTCTTTTCTTTTAGGTTTCTGTATTAAAATGTTCTACATTAAGCCAATTAAATATAAAGGTTCTATCAAGAAGGGAGAAAAACTGGGAACTCTACTGCCCTTGCAGAGAGTTTATCCTGGCATACAATCCCACGTACATATTGAAAACTGTGACTTGAGTGATCCCACCGGATATCTATAAATGGAAGGCAAATGACTAGATCATCTAGCTGGAAAGCCATCTACCTAAAACCTGAATGCATATCTTGCTTTTCAAGAAATCTGTATTCAAATAGAAACAAGATAAATGCAAGAAAGAAAATAGTATTTTGATTTTCAGCCCACTGCCACTCGAATGTTTTTGCATGTCAACTAATTTCTTAGGGCTCTCTGATCTTTTTGTAACCCTTTATATCTTTGGTGGTGGTTTTTTTTTTAATATTTCATTGTCCTAAATAAATAAAATAAGTAAACATATAAATTCAAGCTAGTCTAGAGTGCATTTTTTAATGATTCTAAAACTAGATTTCTGCTTTTTAAAAAAAGCCTGAAACTGTTTTTATGGTATAAGAATAGAGGTTTGTATAATGCTAGACACATGCATACTCAATAAATATTAATTGAATAAATTGGAGCCTTTGTTTGAGTTATGGTTGTGGATAATTTCAGCAATACTCTTAGATTTGTCAAACTGGTTGAATCATGAGCTGCTTGCCTGGATAGAACAGAATTTGCTGGTCTTTATAGCCACACATTCCCATCTTCTATATAAAGTGTAGATAATGAATAATGGCAGTCTAAGAAAATATGTCATATTCTAGATTCCAGGTACACTAGAAAGAGAAGGAGGTCTATCTTAACCTGCAGTATCTCACCGCACCAAGTCAGTCAGCCTCATCTGGCCATATTCGAACCATAGCTACTTATTTCTACACATCACTATTTATCTGTATTATTCTTTCCTGGTTATATTGGCAATAGGTACCAACATGAAATAAGACCATACAAATGTTCAAAGGACCAGAAATAATTATGGCTCCCTAAATTTTAGTCGATCAGTAAGAAATGAATAAGGTGAATTCATCATTCAGGAAACCTCCTTCATGAATGTTTATGTAAATCCTTCTGGAATGTAGAAAACTCCAGCAGAACAACTCCATTCTTAGTGCAGATATGTTAGAGGAAAATGTAACTAATCGAACTTTACTCCTGCTAAGTGGCTGCCACTGTATACTAGGACAGACGTATCCAAATGAAAGTCCATGACATTACTGTTTGTCAGAGCAAAACCTGGAACAGCTCAAGTGCCCATCAACAGTGAGATCGACAAATAAATTATGGTTATAGAATGGAATATTGGATAGCACTCATAATGAATATTCATCAGCTAACATAACCAAATGGATGAATCATAGCAATATAATATTGAGTAAAAAAAATATCAAAAAGATCAAATATAGCATGACACTTTTTATAAAGTCAAAACAATTAAAACCAAAACATAACTTCTAGGAACACATAAGTATGTGATAAAAATATATAAAGAGGAAGTCAAACAAATAATGAATACTAGTTACCTAAGGACTTGATAGGAAAGGACCACTTAGGCAAATTTAAGTTACCATCAATGCTATATTTTTTAGTTGGGAGGTGATTTCATAAATATTTATTATTATAAATTATATGTTATAGATATAAGAAGACTTGCAGGTAGATGGCCAGGAAAAAGAGATAATGATGGTTCTCAGATAGTTTAAAGTCTATACAACACATACCCAGTTAGATACTATTCTCTACACTGTTATAATATCTTATACAAGGCTAACAAATTAATAATTTAATTTTTGGTTATATAAAAAGAAAACTATAACCAGCACTGTATGGTTTGATAATCTACCTTATTCATCTCCTTAGTGCCAAATAAATTTAGGTTGTTTCTAAAAATTATATTTGTTTTCAAATATTGAGAAAACAAAAAAGAAAATAGCACCACACAGACTTTAAAAGCAATCTTTAAACAGCTCTACTATGTTTGAACAATGAAATATATGCATAACCTTCTAAATAATCATCCTTCTGAAGTGACTGTTTTAAAAGCCAGACTTATTACCTGGAATTGAGAGCTTCCCCAAGGCAGAGCGAGGACACTGTCTCCAGCCTACCATTCCACAAGCACTCTCATATCTGTTCATTGAAAATGCAAACTTCAACCTTCCTAATGCCGTGACCCTTTAATACAGTTCCTCATGTTGTGGTGACCCCCAGCCATAAAATTATTTTTGTTGCTACTTCATAACTGTAATTTTGCTTCTGTTATAAATCGCCATCAGAAATATGTGTTTTCTGATGGTCTTAGGTGACCCCTCTGAAAGGGTCATTTGACCCCCAAAGGGGTCACAACCCACAGGTTGAGAACCGCTGCTTTAGATTAAAGGACTTTCTTTCTTAGGAAGAACTAGAGTACAGCGCCCTCTGGTGCACTATATGAAAGTTTTTTTGTGTTTAATTACTTTTTCTTTCATGTTTAAGTGTTAAAATGTTCAGTGTAAAGTATTGTAAAGGTTCAAATGACAGAGAAGTAATAGTACTGAGTGACCTATTTTTCCTTAGTGAGTGTGATTATAATACAGACTTTAAAACTGTAGTGTCAGGTATTAGGTTCACTGACTGTAGATAATGTAAACAAAATCATTTTTTATTTTGAAAATGTTTTTATGTTTTCTGCAGGAAAGTAATTAATGGAAATATAAGATAAGTGGCAATTTAAAGGGCCAGGTCTAGAGAGGTAAGAATTCTTATGTCTATCACATTCAATGGCACATTGACAGCAATATGTATAACTTTAAAATCTGCCCATCTCCCTAGTATTGAGTACAATTCAAATGAGCCTAGAAAGATTCATAAGGAAGGAAAAACAAAAATTTGAGAATCCTATGTTTATGTCTCTTCAGTACAACCTACAATAGAACCTTTTCTCCCATTCTTTCCATTTCCATTTTGCCTACAAATTTATCCTAACTTTTCCAGAACCCTTTAACACATGCAAAACACAAACTTAACCTGAACAAGTTGCTTACATAACAAAAATACTTTAAAAGCTTAAAGCTCAAAATCCATCTAATATCAAACTCTTTTATTTATCTAGAATCCTCTAATCTTAGGTAAACAGTACTTTTTATGGACTTCCACAGTAAGTGGAGACATTTTCATCAAACGAAGCATCAAGAATACTCATCTTATTTTCCCATCTTGTTTTTGGTTGTCCTAAGGATGTGAGTTCTTCACTTTATCAACCCAGTAAGACCAACCAGGGTCATTTAGTTGAGCTGATGAGTTTTACTCTAAGTTTTGCTCCAAGAGTCATTATAGTGCTCAATTCACTAGGCATGACTACTAGGCCACTGAAGACCATATTTAGAGCAGCAACTTTTTATTCAATGTAGAAGAGGCCACTTGTACTCACTACCTCTCTATGCTGGTGGATAGCTGGGATAAACTCCCTCTCGACTTTCCCTCTTCTCTAGTCCCTCTCTGTTTTGCTTCATTATCCTCTAGTGCAAACACCACTGGCAATCTATCACCTTACCATTCAGGTATATATTTTTTAATACCAGGTGAGATGCAGGTTTACATCTTCAGTATTTTCACTATTACTCTGATCTTCAACCAGTCTCACCTCTCCATCTCAGTTAGGCCATTTCCTTTATGTTTGTTTGTCCTGCTATTCTGACCAGACTTTAGGTTCCCTATTATTTTCAGCTTCTATACTCTAACAGAGTGCAGAAATCTTAAAGTATAGCTGATATAATGTGCAATAGTAATAACTATCTTTAAAAAATTGGTTTTAGCTCAGCCAGTGTGGCTCGTGGTTGAGTGTTGACCCATGCACCAAGAGGTCGCCAGTTCGATTCCTGGTCAGGGCACATGCCCAGGTTGCAGGCCCAATCCCCAATTTGGGCATATAGGACACAGCCAATTGATGTTCTCTTTCATCAACGTTTCTATCTCTCTCTCCCTCGCCCTGCCTCTCTCTCTAAAATCAATAGAGAAAAAATTTTTTTTAATTGGTTTTATTTTCAACCAGTAATATCAGCTCCATTTACATTTATTTAGTGTGTAATAATGTATCACACACTATTTTGAGAGTTTTGAACTCAAAGGTAAATGAAATGATGCCTATTCCTCCAGAACTCACAGTGACAATGAATGTGGTACAGTGGTGAGAATGAACAGACACATACAGCCTCTTAAAAAGGAATATAAAATATGCTATTTTTTAAAATCATCACTTACAAATCACAATGTATTCCAATTTCCTAATAAGTGAGAACAGCTAAAAATGTTTTCCTGAGAACAGAAGATGGTTGAAAGAAGAGTAGTTGGAAGCTCCATTCACTTGCCCCCAAACCAGGACCAGACTTGTAGCTAAACTGCTGAGTAAATGGCAGAAAAACCAGTTGACATGTAGCTGATCTGAAATATTAAAAGAAGAAAACACAGAGGAAAGACACAGAGAGGGCGAGCCCCCTCACACAGGTCCTGGATACCCTGTCAGAGCACAGTTCTGTGGGATAAAGGAGAACAGCTCAGAGCAGGGGCATTCAAGACGTGGGACCCAACATAGACAAAGCCTCTGGGCTCCAAAGTCCCCACCAAGCAGACTACTTGGGGCTCCACTCTGCCGAGCTTTGGACAGATTGCTGAGGGCCAGGCAGAGGCAGTGACTGACATTGGTTTGCACCAGAGAACATCCAAGGATGCTGGAGTCTGGCATACCAAGTGGCCAGCTTCAGACAACATCAGAACAAAATCCAGCAGGCTCCACAATCAGTAGATCCAAAGGGTGAACCCACACCTGCATAACAGTTGGTAGGACATGGTCAGGGTTGAGCCTCAAGTCAACCAGTCAAAGGACCAAGCCCACCCACTAAAAGGACAATAGCAATCAAGACCCAATTACAATGGGAGGGCCCACATAACCCACACAAGGGACATTCCTAGAGCATCCAGCTCAGAAGATCAAGGAGACTGCACTACTGGGTTCCACAAGACACTACTACAGAAGGCCACTGCACCAAAACTGGGAGTCATAGCAGTTCTTTCCAATACATAGAGACAAACAAAAAGAAACAGCAAAAACGGGGAAGGAAAAAAGAGGCCCCAAATGAAAAAACAGGATGAACTGCCAGAAAAATAGCTAAATAAAGTTGAAGCAAGCAATTGA